ATACAACTTAGCGGCTCGCAGTTTCTGTAGAACCGACCACACTAGTTTCACACGTTCATCCCAAGTTTCCGTGTAGATAAGGATGTCATCAAGGTAAACCAAAAACCCCTTGTATAAATGTTCATGTAACACCTGATTGATCATCTGCATGAATATGGCCGGGGGGCCCTGTAGGCCAAATGGGAGAATGTTGAATTGGAAACAACCCATCGGGCAGTTAAAAGCGGTTTTCCACTCATCTCCTTCCTTAATTTGAAATCGGTAGTATGCTTCTCTCAAGTCCAGCTTCATGAAAATCTTTCCCTTGGCCAGGTGGGCCAGCATATCCTTCATCAAGGGAAGGGGGTACATGTTTTCCACAGAAATAGCGTTCAAATTTCTATAGGCCACCACCAAGCGCTTGGAGCCATCTTTCTTTTCACGGAACAGCACTGGAGCCGCTACCCGGGGTCTAGCGGGTTGGATGAAACCACATTTCAAATTTTTATCGATAAACAATCTCAGCTCTTCTAATTCCCGTGGTGTCATCGAATATAACTTCAGTTTCGGGAGCTTCACCCCAGGTAAAATTTCAATACTACAATCTGTTGACCGATGAGAGGGGAGCTCATCTGAGGCCTTTTCACTGAACACTTCCTTTAAATCCCAATATTCCTTTGGAATTTTCTCCTCCCCCTTCAAGTTCTCGGTACCTGTGGAGGCTAACTCAACCAGATTCTGAAGCTTCGGCTGAGATCGCCCCTCCCTTTCCGGTTGCTGGTTGGTACGTATGCGCAATGACCCCTTCCTCCAGTTAACGTGGGGGTTCCACTTCCGGAGCCAGGGTAATCCCAGTATTAGCGGTTGCTCTATCCCAAGGGCCACAATAAAACACACGGTTTCTTTATGCTCTCCCATGGTCGTTTCTATGGGTTCCGTTATGAAGCGTGCAGGGCAGCCCGCTGCCACTGATCCATCCAATTGGCAAAAAGCTATGGGCGTTTTTAAAGGTTTTAGTTTTAAGCCCATTTCCTCTACTACTCTCGTGTTGATTACACACCTCATGCACCCAGAGTCTAGCAAGGCTAGCATCTCCCCTTCGGCTCCTGATGTGGGTACCCTCAATTTCACTGGAATGGTCATAGGGCCCTTGTTTGGACTTACCAGGAAGTCGTCTTCCGAGTCAGATTCACTCTCTTCAGAGGGGGTTGGAGGTCCTAGCTCCTCTCCTTCCGGAGGGGCGACCTCTACAACTTCCCTCGTCTTTAGCATGGTTTCCCGAGGCTTCGCTGGGGGTTTTCAGGCTTCCTCCCTCCTTTTGGATCCAACTTGGCCCTGCAGTCCGCAGCCTGGTGACCTTCCTTTCCACATCGGAAACAGGCAGTGGGTTTGGGTCTTGATGCCACGCCTCCCTTCTGGGGCTTGGGGGCCTCTTGAAGAAGTGGGAGGGAAGGCTTGCTCCACCCAGAGCCCCCCCGGCGTCTGCTTCGGGTTAGATCAATTTCCACCTCTTCTGCCAGTAGGTACCACATCTGCAAGTCATTGGGGTCCCTTCTGGCAATGCATCTCTGGTATACGTCTTCATTTAATCCATCTTTAAACGCTTCTATCAGGGCTCCCTGGGACCAGCCTCGGATATGACACGCCAGCTGTATAAACTTTTGGGTGTAATTGGCCACTGATCTCTGCCCCTGATTTATGGTCTTCATCCTGATCCTGGCCTTTTGCTCCGCCAGTGGGTCCTTAAATCTTGCCTGCAGCGCAGTCATGAACAAGTTATAATTCAGCAGCTGGGGGGCGTTATCATTATGCAAAGTCACCATCCACTCTGCAGCTATTCCCTCCAGAGCCCTGGTAACACATCTCACTTTGGCTGCTTCTGAGGCGAATTCCTCCCCGTATTCTTCCATATAGCTCCAAACTTGTGCTAGGAAAAACCCCAGGTCTTTGGGATTTCCCCCATATTTCACTTCTAACGGAGGCAGCTTGGGAGCTCTACGCCTTCTAGGAATTACACCTCCCGCTGGGGGCCCTGGGGCTGCTGCTGGCGGTTGCGCTGGCTCAGGTTGATTTATGGGGGTGGGGGCTGCTCAGCTTCTCCTGGCTGGGGTTGCTCCCCCTTCTCCCTCATACCTTGGTGCAGCGTGAGGTTGTCCGAATGCCTCATTGAGGAGTTGCCTGGCTTGGTCCAGTAAAAGATCTTTCTTTTCCCTCTCTTGCCATGGCTCCTCTCCTCCACACCGTCGGGTGATGGTGATTCCAAGGGGGGGGAACCTCCTCCGGATCCTTCCAGCCAACTCCCAACAACCATCTGGGCTTCACAGCTGGGATCTCTTCCAGATTGAGCTCCGCTAACAATTTAGCTTCCTGTGCCTCCTCCAGCAACAAAGACTCTTGGCCTCCATTGGCCCCAGGTCCTCCTGGGCACTGGTTGGAGATGACATGATGTTCAGACCCCCTCGGAAGAAGCTGGATATTTTCTCCAGGTGGGCTGGTAGAGTGAGATTCAGAATAATGTCAGGTGGTGCTCCATTCAAAATTCAAGAAAGAAATACATAGACTCCTTAGATTAGAGAAAAGATATCTTTTACTGAATATGAAGTGGTAGCAACCATAGAATTCTGAATCTGAGAAATTAGGCGTGCAAATCACATATACAAAGTGATGGAAATGTTCCCACCCCCAATAGTTCAAATGAGTCTTCCAATTAAAAGTTGTGAATATGATCATGTGGACATCTTCAGGTGGTGATGAGGCCTCTGTCCATTCACCTTGGCATATTTTGATAAAGGTTTGCAGCTGCGCAGAGAAAAGAAAGCTAAGCGAAAAATAGAAATGTAAGCAGGAATTTATACTCCCCACTCCCCATTTTATACAACACTAGAATGTAACACCTCCACCTCGCTTCCCAGACTTTACCCCCTCCTCCCCCCGTTACTTATGGCAGCCAAAAGATGCAAAGCAATAGTAGAAGATCTTGAAAGATGACACTGACATATTTAAAGTTGAAATTAAAGGAAAATAAAAGGAACTGTATTGTTAAAAGACGCCAGCAAATTGGAATATTGAATTTAAATCAGTGGAGGAATATATGAAGATTTCCCCTGGGATTTGGACATGTGAAAAGAAATAGATTGATGGACTTTGGGTTACAAAGTCTGGTGGATATTGGACTGACAGAAGGGGGGAAATCGTTGGTTTAAATAAAGTTGCTGGATAATTGGATAGAAAAATAAAACAAGCAATAAAAATGAGCAAAAAATGCAGAGAAATAGCATTGGAATTAAAAACTATAAGAGAAATGATGAACAGAAGCATTAATGACTTACTCAGTAAAATACAGAATATGGAAGAAAATTCCAAAATGGTGACTCAAACTGCAGAAGAAAAGCAAGAAGTTCAGGCAGAGGAGGAGCCAAACAGACAAGAAACCAGCAAAACAGAGCAGATGGAACAACAAACAAAGCGAAAGGGAAAAGGGAAATAAAACTTAAAATGTTAATGATTGAGGTAATAAACCCAGGGGAGGAAATTCTGCGATCTAAGCAACAAAGAAGGGAAATTCAGAGAGAGGTTTTTGAGAGGACAGGGGCAAAAATCAGATAATTGGGAAGAGAAGCAGAGGAATATAACAGAAAAAAGAGGAATGAGTAAGAGAAAGGATCAAAAAATGAGAGAGAGTAAGAAAAGATTAATAAATACTACGAGAGCAAGAGACAATGGTTAAAGAGGGGATTCCACACTGAGGCATTATAGGAGTTAAGATATACAATGATTAATTTTGATAAAATTTTGATAAAATGGGGAAAATGGGAAACCAATACTTATTACCAAAGATATGTAAATTGTTAACTAGAAGAAATACAATGCTGAATATTTTAATTGGAATAAATATGAAATTATTTATTATAAGACTATAATTTATGTTTGCTAATGATCCCATTATGATATGTAAAATTAATATAAATTATGGGGGAAAGAAGGTCATGTGGAATTTGAGGGAGAAAATATAGATATATATAAGGTGTAGTAACAGACAAAATATACATATTGTTATTAGAATGTATAACCTGTTCAATGAACACAAGATGGAAAATATGACCTATGTACTGAAATGAGATTAGAGAGGGACGTGTTAAATATATAACAGTGGCAAAATTAACATTAAAAGGGGATAAATATTGGATAATATAACTTAAGATGAATACACAAATGATTACTTGAATGATATAATTTGTTAAACTTTGCAAATATGACTATTAAGAGAATATGTATAACATTAAAAAGATATTAAAATATAGATACAAAACAATATATGAGAATATCGAATAATAAAAGCTGGCAACATGCAATAATACTAAATTAGATAAGAAAATTGATAATATGAATATGAATTTAGGGTCATGTTTGTTATTGAAATGTTAAATGACCTGGAACCACAGTGTTCACCCAATGATGTATGTAAAGAAATAAAAAATTATTTCAAAAAGAAGAATGCAGTACTGCAAGCTACTTCTGCTGACTCTTGGCTGCCTGCAATTTGGCAGATCGAATCTCACCAGGCTCAAGGTTGACTCAGCCTTCCATCCTTCTGAGGTGGGTAAAATGAGGACCCATACTGTTGGGGGCAATATGCTGACTCTGTAAACTGCTTAGAGAGGTCTGTAAAAACACTGTGAAGTGGTATATAAGTCTAAGTGCTATTGCTATTTTCCTAACTTGTTTGACTCCACAGTAATCCAGACATTGTCTCCCAATATTTTGCAACTGATGAGCTTTTTCTGAAGTCACTTCAGTAAAATGTATATGCTTAAAAACAAAATGAAAGGGACGTGTATGATTAAATGACATAAAGATAATTTTATTGGCTAGCACTAAGTACACTACGTTTCAAAGCTTCCTGGTAATAGACAAAGTTTACACCAAAAAGCCAAGTCTACAAGCCACATAGAAGCCAAAGATTGGGAGATGCTGAATGGAGCTGGCAATATAATCAAAGAGTTGATTGACACAGCACAAACCTTAACATGGCATCTTCCACACGCGGGCCACCGAGAGTGCTGCTGATCACATCATCTAATTGCATTATAATGTCAGAGCCTAGGGGAAAAAATACAAGTTAGCTAAGATCAATCAACAGGAAAATGGAGGATGGACTGAATAAATTTTAACAAAGTTTAGTTTATATTCTGTTATAAGTAAAATTTGGTTATTACACCTGAGAATATAAAGAGCCGAACTGAAGCCATTTTGTGTTTTCAGTTTGAACTTTTAAAGCTCAGAACTGAAATATTTCATAACATATTTCTGTTATGAAATATGTTTTCTGCTGGAATAATATAATATTGCAACACTCTGTACTTGGCATGAGTTAGAGGTATTTGCTGGGGCGCTCTGACATTAAATGTTACATTAAGAGATATTGATGTTTTCTTATAATCTTCTGGAATTTGATGTTAAAACTTGTCCATGAGTGGTTGGAACTTTTTATGAAAACATTGTATAACATCCGTATATGGAAACAGGAAGTGCTATGTAACCATGTGATTTGCTAAACCTATATAAGCTGTATTCACTAAATGGGAGTGTCTCCTTCCTCCTAGAAAATGTTTTTTTTCTTCTGGAGTACAGGGGTCCATACTGCAGTATTTTCCCTAATAAAGCATCCTATGGATCAGATTATCAGAAGTCTGTTGATTCATCTTTATGTACTTCACACAAATTTGGCGAGCTGGCAGCCAGGAGATAGGCGTTTTTTTCTTCCTTTGGACAGATGATTTTTCAGGACTGCAATGGCACCTCTTCACTGGGTTTGTGGAGGCAGTTGCTGGGTCTTCCACCCAAGGGAGGGAAAATCGCTCTTAAAACCTTGACTGATAATCTGGTCATAGGAGCTTGGAACGGCCGAAGTATGGTGCCTTTGTTGCAACATTTCCTAAATTGTTTTGGGATTGTTTAGAGGGGTCCAATATGATTTCTGTTTGACGTGTGTGTGTGAGTCTGCACTGTTTTTTTCTGTTCTCTTTTCTCCCTGTCATATTTTGTGTTAAGGGAGAGATAGACATTTTTTTTGTTTAATGAGAACAAGATGTTTCTAATGTTCCAGAGTTCCTTCTCCTTTTGGAGAGCTGGTTTTGGCTGCTGATATTTAAGTATTAACCCCTGCTGAGTGATACAGATCGTACTTTGTATGGCTGGAATGGCTGAATTATGTTTGAAACTGTTCAAATTTAGAGTGTGTATTGAGATGTGTATTGGTTTGAATGCCTTCAAAGCTGTGTTAAATAATTAACTGTTGAATATTTGCATTGTCTCTTTTAATGCTGTGTTGAAGAGTTAGAGAAGTTAGATGCCCAGATGATTTATGTTGATCTGTAATATGTGGAAGGATCTTTTCCCCTCTTAGTAAGAGATTTTATTAAGGAATATGTTAGCTGTTTATGCTCATCTCCTTCCCTATAATTTGATCCAGCTGTTTCAGATGCAGCTGAGGGGAGAATTTAGGGGGGGCTGTTTCACAGTGTGGTGAGGTGAGCTGAAACATGAGCTAACTTTGTGAGGGAGAGTTGCAAGGATTTTATGTTTGGAATAGTTATAAAATTTACAGCAAAGAAATTTTATTTGTAGTGTGAAATGCCTAATAGTCTTACAGTTGTGTTGCTTACTTCCTCTGTTTTGAAGAATTATAAGCTGTCTATGCTGTGTTTGCAAAATGTTCCAATAAGGAGTTTGTTGAAGGTTTAAGCATTTATACTTTTGAGGAGTTGTAGCATGTTTTGGGTTATTTGTTTACTCCAGAAGGGATATAGATATTATACTCTACTAGTATAGTCTACTACAGGGAATACCTGGTGATATACTGGCTGGAATAGTCAGGGTGGTTTAGTACAAGGTATTAAAACTGATGTGCCACAAGGGTGGAATCTGGTTAGAGGTTTTTTTTAGATAGGTCAGTTTAGAGATGAATTGTCAACTGAATTTTTGAATAGAATTAGGGATAGTTTGAATAAGTGTTCTGTTTTTTCTTCAGAGAGACACCAGAATACTAAGCGTTAATGAAATTGTAGTTTGTGACAGAGGCCAAGAAAGTTTTTTTTTTTTTAAGTTGTGATGATATGAAATCTTGTCAGTTAATTATTTTTTCTGCGTTCAAAGCTGTTACAAAGCTAGAGAGAGAGAGCACAGATAAGTCAGATGAACTTGGACTTATAATAGTTAATAATAACAAATTTCATATTCATATTTATCTACTGGAAGTAGATGGAAGCGTCTGGAGAAGGGAGAGAATAGAATTTCTTTCCTGGAATAGAGATAGCTGCTGAAAAAAGTAAGCAGTGTTTTGCTTGTGGCATTTTGTGAGAAAAATTGCCTGGACAAACGGAGAATGCAGCAGAGGCTATATACCCTAATTGAAGATTGGGGTGTGTGTGTCAAAGGCTTTCAATACTTGCGTCTCATCAGGAGTTTTTAGTAAATATAAAGGTGAGACTGAGGAAGCAGTTGTGTTTTCCTGATAGATACTGTAGCCAGAATTCTTGTGGCTAGGTATGATGTATCTGGTGTTAAGGGAGAGCCTTTTGCTGTTCCTATTGTTGAAAATGTGTCTCTAATAGGAGGACACTTTGAGAGAACACTGGATGTTATGTATATACCTGAAGCAGGTATGAACCTTTTAGGATGGGATGCTTTGTCCTTATTAGGTTGTGCTTATCTTTCTGAAGATTAGTGTACTGTTCATTTATTGACTGATGAACAGAAGAGATTTATAGATCCCATAGTGGGGGAAGTGAAAGGGAATAGAGGTGATTTTGAGTATTGCACCTGTGGAGGTCATATTGAGCCAGTGAGATGGAAGCTATGTGATATTTCCTTGGAAGAGAGATGTGGCTTGAAGCCAGTGATAGAGACCCTGTTAAGGGATGGGCTAATTGAGTCTGTGATGTTACCATGCCATATACTTATATTACCTGTAGAGAAACCTGATGGTTTTTGATGTCTAGTGGTTGGTTTTATATATTCACTTGGAGATTATTATGCCAGAATCCCTATACATTGTTAGGGGGAATTCTATATGAATACAGGTATTTTGGTGTGATAGATTTGAAAGATTTTTTGGGGGGGACTTGCCCAGTAGTGAGGGCTGATCCAGATACACATCGAACTTGACAGTATCGATGGTGTGTTTTACCGAGAGGGGTTCTTAGAAAGCCCTAGTTTGTTTGGACAAGCGTGGAGCAGGTCCTTGGGGGTTTTGAACCGCCTGTGGGTATAACGGTGTTACAGTATGTGAATGATGTGTTGGTATTAGGTGAGAAGAAGAGAGATGTTGAGAAAGGTGTAAATGCTTTGTTAGATTTCTTAGGACAATTGGGCCTAAGAGTTTTAAGGAAGGAATTGTATTATGTGAAGTCTGATTTAGGACATTTGATTAGGTATGGAAGAATCAATCGAGAGATTGAGGGGATAGTTAGATAAGCTATATCAAGAACTCTTGTGTTGAGTTAGTCTGAGTTAAAAGAACCTTTCCATTTGTTTGTAGCGGTGGAAGAGGTGTGTGTTTGTTCTAGCTCAGGTGTGAGCTGGGAAGAAGAAACTTATAGTTGTTGTTGTTTTGGTTGACAATTGATGGATTTAATAGTGCGTGGTTGGCCTTTGTTGGCCATAGCTGCTATGGCTATGTTTGTGGGAGGAAGTAGGAAGCTGACTTTTGAAAGTGCTTTAATAGTAAGTGTTTTAATGCAGAAAGCATATGTGGCTTACATATGTTAGATTTTTAAAGCTATTTTATTGTTAAGGAGAATTTGTTTCTTTCAACTGACAGGAATTTAAATTCAGTTGAATTCCTTTTGGGAGAGAGACAGGAATGGGAAGATAGAACAATGCATGATGTATTGAAGTTCTAGATTTACAGATGAAGGTGAGAGAGGATTTGGAAGATAGCCCAATAGAGGGAGGTATTAATTTGTTGGCTATAATATATGTTGACGCTAGTAGGAAGAGAAGTTTTCCAAAGAGATTTTGGGAAACAGATTAGCAGATGAAACTTATGTATGTATGTATAGATGCATGTATGAGAGAAGATAATGGTTTTAGTTCCTGTTTTGGAATGGGATGTAAAACCAGGTTTCATTGATGAAGAAGAGAAACAGATGACGTTATAAGATGTGGAGCATGTAGACTGGAAATGGTTAATAGAGATTGCAGATAGTTAATAAGCCTATTATGAGAGACATAATAGAGAGGGTACATGAAGGTACTTATTGGGGAACACAAGTATTTGTGGCTTTTGTGAAGAGAAAATATATTTGTAGAAGTATGTACATGATAGTTATGCAAGTGAGTAGAATATGTATATATTGTGTGTAAATGTGTATGATCCTGACAGGAGGAAGGGATTTGGCTGTTTTAAAGAATGTCAGTTGCTTGTACTGTAATGTTAGCAGTGAGCATTTTGAAATATCTGTTGGTGATTGTTGATCATTTGACTGGATGGCTGGAAGCTTTTCTGTGTGCGAGAGCGAATGCACAAATGACTGTGAAGTTAATATTGGGATAGATAGATAGATAGATATGCATTGATAGTGCATTTATAGTGATAGAGGTACACATTTTACTTTTCATGTGGTAAAAGGGTATAGGAAAAGAATTGGAAATGGATTGGCAATAGACCTGTTGGGTTTTTTCCTCAGGTGGGGTGAAGAATGAGAACTATAAAACAATAAAGAAATTAATGTTAGCAATTCAATTACCCTGGATGAAATGTTTACCTCTAGCTCTATTGTGAGTGCATACTTGTTTGAGAAAAGATGTTGAAATTTCACTGTATGAAATGATGTTTGGAATACCTTATACTGGAAGTGTGGGTATGTCTGGAATTGTACTTGAAGATATTTTTTTAGAAAATATATACAGGGACTGTCCCAGTGCTTTTCTCTTTTAAGGTCTAAAGGCGCAAATACCATCATTTGATTTCCGAGTGCATGATTTTAAGAGTGGAGACTGGGTCCTGATAAAGCAGTGGAGAGCTTTGGGAAGCTGAGGCCTATCTGGGAAGGACCATTACAAGTACTGACTACTGAGTCTGCTGTGAGGACGTGAGTGAGGTTGGACACATCATTCGTGCGTGCAGGGATTTGTGGATCCGGTTCCTGTTTCCAGTGGAAGCAAGCTTCGGAAGGACTGGACTTTTTATTTTCTATTTCTTTTAGATAGTGGGGATAGGTAATTACATGTCTAGTTTAGCTTAGGTTTGTGGAACTTTGAGATGTGTTGTTGATTATTGGGTTGAATGTAATACATTTTTCTTTGTATTGTTGATTATTTTAAGACATGAAATAATAGATTGTTGTACACAGGTATTGTGTCCTCTGAGTGCGGAAGAAGATAAAGAAGTGGATGTAAGTCCCCAAAGACCGGTTGTAAGTTTTGAAGTGTAAAACTACATACGTTAAGGTGGGTGGGGGCCTAGTCCATTTGTGAATATGATGTGGATAGTGATTATTGCCTTATGTGGGGTAGGTATGGAGGCTTCGGAGGTATTGCCTGGTTATCTATTAACGTGGCAACAGTTATGTTTCCAAACTGAACCCGACAGTGTAGAATATGAAGGTATAGACAGTATAGATTATTATGTCTATACTTGAATTTCTGCTGCAAAATCTAACAATGTATAGTGTAGATAAGAAAATTCCAGTGTGTTGGCCCTCTGCCATAGCTGATTCTGAATGATAACAGTACAAAGAGAAGGCTGTTCTGTACAGAATATAGCTTTCGTGAATACCATATGGGGAAACAGTGCCCTCAAGCAGGAAGGGCTTGAGCCATTTGAAGGAACTGATAGATAACAAATAAAACATTTGAATGACAGGGACTAGAAGCCAAACAGCTTAGTTAAAGGCAGGTTCTCTGTGCTCCCAATGAGACATTCCAGACAGAACAGTTTCAAATCATAATTTCAGTACCTCTTTCAAGAACTTTATTCCCACACAGATCCATTGCAACCATCTAATTGGGAGGCTAGCAATGCAGGGGTAACAGTAACCGGATCATCAGAAAGGAGCACAGTAGATAAATCATTCACTAACAAGAAAACAAGAAATGGGGACTAAGTATGCAAATAGAGTCAAGTAGAGTGTCTATGAGCTTCTTAACTATTTTGTGCAGTTTTATTTTTTTTAAAAAAATTCCTAAACAGGTCATGATGGACAATCATGGAATTAGGGAACTATCACTGCCATTATAAAGCAAAAGGAAGCATTAGTTTAGCTAGTCTTATTATTAGACAAAACAATAATTACCAAGAGCATTCTGTATTTCAATTGATTTTTCTGGTGTTAGCAGAATCTGCTTGCCATCATAAGGAGAACAGAAATGTACTCCCTCCTCTGTCACCTTGGAGAACTCCACCAGAGATACCATCTGAAAACCACCACTATCCTGCAGAAAAAAACACTTTGAAAGGAACTGAGAAGTAAGGAAACTGGCAGTGCTAAATGTGTAATGGTAACAAATATCCCTTCACACATGAGCTGTGTTCACTACTAGCCCTATAAGATGCCCCAATTTACACATTGTACCAAATCAAAAACAAGCAACTATGGCTTAGTACAATACAGTATGTTAAACCAGATTTTTCTGCATACTTCCACTATGGATTTTATATGGCAGTAATATAAAAATGACTGGGTTCATACCCTGCTAACCCAGGGAATATTTTATACAAGTTACAAATGATTGGATTTGTAATTGCATTAAACAATAAATTGTGGTTTATTTGGCTTAATGGATGGGTTAGGGCAAAAAGCTCATATTACAGCATTCACAGCATTTGTCTGCTTTGGAAGCCATATTAAAATCTGATGCTCCCACGCTGTCACAATTAAGCCTGGGAAAGTGGGAGGGGGGAATTCATTGGAGTATATCCAGTTAGACATAATAAAATTATTTTACTGATTCAAGGTCAGGTAGTGTTGCGCATAGTGAAAAGGAAGTTTTACTTTGGGACGGATGGTGATTGGGCCATGTGATGTGGTGATGGGTATAGGGGGTGGATTTGTAGTTTTTACTTATTGCAAGGAAGCCCAGAACTTCAGATTCAGGATTCCACAGATGTGCCAGTTACTATCCAAATAAAGGGAACTTTTGAGAGATGTCTGTCTCGGAGTTATTAGTTGGAATGGAGGTTTGCTGGAACACTTGACATTATCCCGAATCTCTAAACAAACTCCAGCATCTCGAAAGGGAGCTGTCAGGGGTGTTGAACCTCAGCACTGACTCAAAAAATGGAGCAGTGCAAAGACTCAATGAAGATGAAACAAAGAGAGGAAGCTGCAGAAGGGGCTGGGCACCAGAGAACTGAGACCCCCTGCCCTCATTCTGAAGAATTTTTGCAAGTGATGGAAGCTGCAGAGGAAAGACGAAGACTAGGCACCCAGCCCAAGGAAATGGATTCATGGAGAAACTGCCAAACTGAGCTGAATCCAGAGATGGGACTGGAGGAGAAGCTGCCTGAACACCTTTCCTACTCCAGCCCTCTGAGGACAGCACACGAGACAGAGTGGAGAAGTAGGGGAAGGGGGCATTGGAATCAGACAACTCCCAAGCCTGAAACCTGCTACCTCCATCCCAAAGCCAGTCATTGGTAGGGATCCCAGAGCAATTCCAGAAACTTAAAGTAGAAAGTTATGTCTCACAGCCACAGCCTCTCCAGCCGACCTGGTTCCTAATGCAGCCCACGTTCACTTTCCCTAGTCCAAGACTTGACAGTGGAACCAGCGTGGCATCTGTCAGAGGTGGCCTAAGGATTGGCCCAGCACAGCAGGGCCAAGCAGCAAGTGGGAGATAGCAGATGCAGCCAACATTGGGTACATCACAACCCCCAATTCCTCCCCTTCCACAGCCAGCAAGGAGATTACCCCCTGTGGAGAGTATTCCGCCAGGGTAGGGATTCTATCCTGGTCAGGGGTGGGTCCAATGCCAATGGATGCCAGCGCCAGTTGCACCACCTGGTTCAGGAACACCCTGAACCCAAGGAGCAGCAGCAATCCCTCCTCAGCAAGGGGATCAGCACAGGCTGCAGGCTGTGGCCATCCCCCTTTTCCCAGCATGGAGAAGAGTTCAGTAGATGGCCCCTATTCAGCAGGTTCCAATCCAGACGCCCCTTGGAGCAACCCTGCAGGACCCCTTCCTTCAGCATGCCCCAATTGCTCATCAAATCCCAGCTCAGCTGCCCCTCAGGGTACTCCTGCAGGGGGCTTTCCTGCAGCTGGCTCAACACATTCCAGCTCAGCCCGCAGTTACTATGATGATTCTTCCCCCCATCAGATCAAATGGCTTTCAAAGCAACTTTTGACGGATGGCGTGAAAACTTTGCTTTCTTTCTTACCCGGATCTGGTCAGATATAGATCAATTTGGAAACCACTACGCAAAAGATCGCGACCTAGTTTCCACAATTACAGATGGGATAAAAGAAGGGGGCGCTTCTGATTGGGTAGCTCAATTACACAGAACTACAAGATGCCGAAGCATTTGTTGAGCTTGAGCTGCTCAGGGCTAGATTTGAAAACCCTGATAGAATAAGGGAGAGTGAAGATAAAATAATGGAAATGAAGCAAGGCAATCGACCCTTAAAAGACTTTGTATGGAACTTTAGAAGGGTCACAAGCAACCTCATGAACTGGCCTGACAGAATACTTCTGCACTATTTTAAGAACACTATTGATCCAGAAGTCAAGAAAGCATGCAGCATCAGAGGAATACCAAAGAGACTACAGGATTGGTATGCCCTGTCCCTTAGACTGGACAGGGAAATCAACCCACACCAGAAACCCCCATCTGAGGGCCCTCCTAGGAAAACTTTGGCCAGATGGCTTCTGACCAGACCTGCTGAAGCTGCTCCTATCCAACTCATAAGGATTATAAAGTGCTATCGATGTGGCCAGGCTGGTCGTAAGGCAGCCGACTGTCTAGCTCCTGCACCTGTTCCACAACCGAGGCCTAGTACAGCTGCCAGGGGCTGAAGAACTCCAATATCTACAACTAATAATCCATGTAAATAATGGCAGAAGGATATTTCTTAGTTCGTATGGCAGGGGTAAAAACCAAGAATTAGATATAAGCTACACAAGATGCTAAGGACAGAAGGGGCTTGGGTCTACCAGGTATGAAATTGTTTTTGGATGCATGCTGTTTGACCTGGACAAAAGAATGGGTGAGTCTCCAGAATAAAAGGTTACTTGAATTAGAGCCATGAATTAAGGTTTGGATAGCACAGCTACTTTTGGTATGATAAAAGTAAATGTTGATTTTAATAACCATTTCGTTACACATGCCACACTAAGAGTTTGGAATAAATATAAAATAAGGCTCTCCACGAAGCTGCCTCTTTGAGTGTCACCACAGGAAGCACTTTTTAGAAAAGAAATGGTGGCAAAGCCAGACTGGTTGACATGGTAAAATTTTATCTCTCAATTCTGGTGATCCAATATTAAAGCAAAGGGAAGAAATTGAATCAGAAGGTTATGTTTGCCATTGGTTTACTTATCAACAACTGAAAGATTCATTTAAACTGGATAAAAAATGTTATGGATTTGACTTCGTTAAAAATGAATTGGAAATTTCATTATGTGGCAACGATGAACATACTATTGCTAAGATTTATAAAATGTTATTGAAATTGAATTTGGAAAATGAACATGTAAAACATTGTATGATTCAATAGGCAAAGATTTTGGATATAATGTGATGCTTAAACAATGGGAAAATATGTGGACAAAGGGTTTAAAATTTACATTAAATTATAATCTAAAAGAAAATTTCTATAAGATGATATATCATTGGTATTTAACACCAGATAACCAAGTTATCTAAAATATATAAAGATAAGTCAAATGAATGTTGGCAGTATAAAAATAAAGAAGGGGCTTTTTATCATCTATGGTGAATATGTCATAAAGTAAAAAAAAATTGGAGTATGATTCATATTTTAAGAGCAAGAAGGAAAAAGAAGGAAAGATGGGAAGGAGGAAGAAAGAAAGGAAAATGAAAAGAAAGAGAAGAAAAGGGAGAGAGGGAGGAAATTATAATGAGGGGGAGGGAGGGTCTGAGGAAAGTCTTGCCTTAGCACTTGGCCATCACCTGTCCTGCTGCCTTTTTGCCATCTCCTTGTCCCCTCTTCCGGACGTCTCCTGGTGGTCTCCTATCCTATCACTGAGGATGCTTTGGTTACAAAGTTGGGTCTCCTCACATGGGCCTCTCTCTGATCCACACACTTTGTCCTCCCACATACACAATGAGCAACCTGGCCAAAGAGAGCAGCAGTGGCCTTAAGAAGGAGTAAGTGCAGCTGAGCAGCCCTTTGGGGAATGCTGGGTAGAGCTGGGCAGTTGCCCACCACTGCCCATGGCTCCAGGCAGCTTGCACTGCCATCTGGAGGTCCTCCACATGGCCTGAGAGGAATGGCAAGGCTCCTCTGAAGACAGCAAGAAGCGGCAGTCTTTAATGGCTGCCTTGAAGACTGGAAGCTGCCAGGACACAAGTTTGCGCTGGAAAGTGAAAGTGGTGACTTTGAAACATTCTTTTTGACAACCGCAAAAAACGGAAAGAAAGAACTCTCGTTTGGAAGAGCGGTAGCGGCGAATGTGAGATAAGAGGAAAATATAAGTAAAGAAAAACTGGAAATAAAAGAGTTATTTGTGATTAGAGACTAAATTTGGAACAACATACAGAATTGGACATTAATTACGCATTGGATAAAATGCTGGACTTATTTGGAATTGGTTAAATCTAATATTAATATTATGGAAAAGTGAATTAAAAATAAGAAAGTTTTAAGAAGAAAGTGATACAGAGCACCACCTAAGGGTTGAAGACTTCCTTCTTTTGTGTTTCTATGGAAAATTACTAGTTGTAACAAGATCCCCGGAAGCTTCAAATGGAGACTCTTGATAAGGACTATAATAGAAAAACTTGACTTTTAACAAAATAAAGAATAATTTAATAGACAAAAGAAATGGAAATAAGCAAAGAATTTAAGTCAGAGCTTCAAAATGTGAGAGAGATACTTAAAGAAAAAATGAGATTAGTGGAATTAATGATGAGTAAAGTAATGGCGTTTCAACTTGCGGAAGAAAAAAGGGAAGAAAACAACAGCTTTGATGAACATGAAGAACAAGGATTACTGTCAAAGGATATAAAAGGATATAAAACAGAGACATTGACATTAGAGACAATAAATAAAAAAGACAAGACACCCAAGACTAAGAAGAAGGGAATATACAAGAAGGAATTCCAAAAAAGAGAACTGAAAGGGGGGGACGGGACATGGCCGACGGGCAGAAGGAAATAAAAATAAAATTAGAAGGAAAAAAGAAGACTGGGGAAACTTAGAAAGGGGAAACCTAGCCAAAATTATGATATTTAGAGATAAGGGTTAGGG